CTACTCAGCGAGCAAAATACGTAGCTGAACAGAAACTTTGCTTCGCTTGCCTCAATGGCAATCATAGTTTCCGGCAAGGTTCTAGAGCGAAGAAGTGCCCGAAGCCAGAGTGTGATAGCGCACATAAGGTCTTGCTAATATGTCCCTATACCCTGAGGCCGCCTCAGTCGTAAATGAAAAATTTTACATGGACGATTACTTGGATTCATTTGAGAACGTTACCCATGCAATTAAAATTAGCCGCGATTTGGTTTCCTTACTAAAATTGGGAGGATTTAACTTGACTAAATTTGTCAGTAATGCTGATGAAATCACTTAAGCAATGAACCCCGAGGAATCCGAAACCTCGTCTTCACCCATCAAGGAAATATTTAACGGTGCCGATTAATGATCACACGTCTTAGGTCTTAAGTGGGACCATGTGAAAGACACATTGGTTGTTAGCAGAGGCGTGGATCGTCCTCTCGATAAAGCAATAACTCAACGAACCGTCTTGAGTTTCGTCTCTTCTGTGTTTGACCCTGTTGGGTTAGTAGCTCCATACACAGTTAGGGCTCGTCTTTTACTTAAAGATATTTGGAAAATCAGTGGTCAAAGTTGGGACGACGAATTGCCAGAAGACATAAGAGATAAGTTTCTCGAGTGGCACTCCGGTCTCCCTCTCTTAGGGCAATTGTTTATTCCCCGTTGTTATTTCACAGAGCCTGTGGATCGAATTGAGCTCCACATGTTCGGTGATTGCTCGCAGGACGTTTTCTGTGCGGTTGGATTTTTGCGAGGGCGACTCTCGAGTTCGCACAAAAATCAAATATCCTTCATCTTTGGTAAAGCTCGCGTTCCGCCCATGAAAGCCCTATCTATAACAAAGCTAGAGCTGCAAGCTGCTCTGCTCGCCACATGACTAAAAGATGATATACTGACCACCCTTACAGTCTCTATTAATCATGTCTACATGTGGACAGATGGTACAACAATTTTGCAGTGGCTAAACTCGACTGAAAAATTACCTTTATTCGTCGCTAATAGTGTCGGCGAAATCCTCGAATCGACCAATATTGATGAGTGGCACCATGTTCTGAGCGGCAATAATGCAGCTGATACCGGTACGCGGGGGATTTCTTCGGAAGCCCTCAAGGATAGCAGCTGGGTTATTGGTCCGAGCATTCGCAGGACTACTGATTGGCCCTTTATACCCGACGAACGTGTAGTCAAAAAAATTCGTTTGAAGGGTCCTTCTTGTGATGTTGATAATTGCTTGGAGACATCATCTTCCTTCGTAACCGATGTCACATCCAACAAACATCCCGAAGACGGGTTCAATTGGGAAATGTTCAGTTCCTTTACAAGATATAAACGAGTAGTCGCTTTTATGTTGAGGATGTTGCCTTCACATAGGCATTTTCGTGGTAAGGACTTACAAATCACCGACCCCACTGAACTTGATATTGCAGAAAACAAAATGATTCATCTTGCTCAGATGGAATCCTTCACCGTTGAATTGAAAACACTCACCGCTGGTGAACCTATTAGGAATAGTACTAAAATTGCCACATACTCGCCATTTATCGGTCCCGCTGGTGTCATTCGTTCCACCGGACGGATTGTGCGCTTAGTGAATACCGAGTTTGATACTATGCACCCAATAATACTCGACGCCCGACATACCCTAGTTCGTTTGTTGGCCCACAGCCTCCACCACAAGCATTTTTATCAAGGTTTAGATTACATGCGCTCCGTTTTTAAATATGAAATATGCAATAATTGGGTTGCGTCGACTACTTCGTTCTATCGAAAATCAATGTGTAACATGCCGTAAACGCAAAGCAAGCACCATTCAGCCAATTATGTCCGATTTACCTGTCGAACGTCTCGGATACAAGCAACCACCCTTCAATCATACGGGTTTGGATTACTTTGGACCGCTTTACGTTCCGGTTCGCAGAAGCACTGAAAAAAGATGGGAATTTCTTTTTACTTGCATCACCACCAGGCCTGTACACCTTGAGATTGTACCATCTCTGGACACCAGTTCTTGTGTCATGGGCATTGAACGGTTCATTGCGCGTCGTGGTACGCCAAGCACAATCTGGTCGGATAACGACACGAACTTCGTTGGTGCGGAAAAGAAATTACTTGCCTGCATCAAGAGCTGGAATGGCATGGCTCCGACCATTTTTGCACACAAAGGTATTACTTGGAAATTTAAACCGCCAGGCGCACCCCATCATGGCGGCTCCTGGGAACGCCTCGTCCGAAGCGTGAAGCGCATGCTGTACGATATCCTAGGCAGTAGGCGAGTCACTGAAGAGGTGTTAGGAACAACACTCTGCTTAGTTGAGCAGGCTTTGAATTCGAGGCCAATTACTCCCGTTAGTACTGATTCACCCCAAACCACTTTTTGCTTGGACAACATGCCACAAGCTTTCGTTCGCTTTTACCCGGGGAGCACTTCAATCACAAGAAAAGGTACGTGCGAGCGCAGTCATATGCCAACGCGATTTGGTCTCGTTGGCTTCGAGAATATGATCCCTCGCTGAATAAGCGTGTCAAGTGGCACACTCATTCTGACTTCACTCTTAAAACAGGCGATCTCGTGTCAAGCTAAACTACGGACAGGAAGGTTGCGCCCGATCCGCCCTTGTCAGGACCGCAACCCGTGAAGTCACGCGGCCGACCGTTAAGCTCGCTCTGGTTCTTCCTTCTTCAGGGGGGGGGGGGGAGAATGTTGCAATGCAAATGTAGAGTTTAGATGCATATAAAACAAGAGTATAAATGCATACAAAATAAGCACAGTTGGCCGAGTGGCCTAAGCTAACGCCGATTATATGTGTGACATAACAGTTGACGTAGGTTCGAGTCCCCCACCTGCCTATGTATTAATGTACTAAAAACGGGGTTATTTCCTATTTTAACTGTTTTTTGGTTCTAGTTCGGTTCAGCCTTGATTAAGACTGACATCCAAAAAGAGCAATTTGTCTCAAGGACATTACCGACCGGTTCTTGTGGCTAGCTTGCGCCGATTTGTACCAAAAACAGGCAGATGATAAAAATGTTATATGTTGTTCTGATCAATAGAAAAATGCCGAAATTAATTTATAGACCGAGTTATTTGCCGAGAAATATCTCTTATTAATTTAACGAATTTGGATCAGTTTTGGAGATTAGAGCGAGCAGAGCCAGCGTAGATTAAACTTAATTTTAAATAAAGAAAAAAAGAAGCAGTTGGTTTTCGTTGAGTAACCAATTAGAAAAATGGCAAAACTGGTTTTCAGGGATTAGCAGAAACGCAAAAAACGGGATGATCATGAAAAGATGATCAAGAAAAAGTGGCGACATCGAGAACAGTTAGAGAAATTAACCAATAAAAAGAAGAGTAGTTAAAATGGAGTGTCTAAAAAGCTAAGTTGAGTTGTATACATTACTCTTGCATAACTTTATTTGCAACTGAAATTGCCCAAAACGAATTCTCGTCTGCCAGAGTTTTTGCCCAATAAGTTCCACTTAGTGAACTAAACCACCCATTCAGTCTTCATTTGCCATCTGCAATCATGTAGTATTTTGTGTCCTAATTCTGCTGTTATGTAGAAGATATTGTCCTTTCGCTATGTAGAAAAACGATTTTTCTTTTCCATTTATGTCAGGGAACGCCTCCTTTAAATTCATATGATTAAGAATGACTCGCCTCTAAGCTCATTCGTCGTTACAACTTCGGTCGACCCAACTGAGAGAAATAGAGCACCTTTCGAAACTAAACCCACCTATTGAGAGAGGCAGGGTAGCGAGCTACACTGGAAGCTGACTTTGGTCAACCTGGGACAGTGAAACAAGTCAAAGCTCAAAATTGGCTGAAAAGTTTCCAACTGACAACTGATGATTAAAGCAGCATTGCTTTTTACAGAGATACGAAGAGCCAAATTTGATAATGAGGCTGAGCAGCGATATTGTGAGAGTGAAATTGATTAATGAGAAATATGGAACTAACTGCAACCCTCAGTGACAAAAATGGATAAAAATCGAATATATACAGAAAAATTTACAGATAAACTTAAGTATAGAATCGATTTATCTGCAACCATTTTGCGAAAGATATTCGGATCTATACAGATAGAATCTTTTTTTTCACTAAAATAAATAGATTTTAGTGCCAAAATAATCTATTTTTTTTTACTCTATAAAACCTGTATATAATCTGTCAGGGGCGGATTTAGGAAGTGGAGGGACGCCCCCTTCAGGGATTCGACCCCCTGCCGACCCAAAGGGTCCCCCAAATGTACTGTTTCGAGATACCCATTTTTGGCGACAGACCCTAAAAAATTTCTTAAGGCAGCTTTGTTACCAATATATACTATCAAATGGATTCTATTTCTATTGCTGTTGCTTGAACCTCAACAAAGGTAGAATATCTAGAGTCAACTTAAGGGCGTAATTGACCTTTGCTCAAATGAAACATTCAACGACACGTAACTTGAATAAAACTCATTTCACGTCTTCGCAATTCATTTTGCGACTTTTTAAAAATAAATTCTGTTCCATTTAGTAGTTAATAATGGATGTGCGAGGTTCCGGTTTTAAAAAAATCAGATATGCGAATTTTTTTCTGGCTTTTGCTGTTTTAGTCCAAATTGAAATTTTAGTAGAGTGCTTCATCAAAAATAGATATCGTAACAGAGTATCAAGAGGTCTCTGCTTGTTGCCTGAACCTTAACACAGATAGATTATTTAAAGTCAACATAATGGATTGATTTAACGGAAGGAAACTTTTCCCAGAGAATTCCCCCGAGATCCCATTTTTGAATATTAAGACCAAAAGTCGGTTTTATGGCTTATTTCTTGAGAATTTTAGATTCAAGTTGTAATTTGAAAACACTAGGAACTTTTGAATATTTGTTTCACATCTGCAAATAAAAAACTTTTTGTTCTTTGCAGTGATTTCAAAAGTGGGTTTTCAGTCTTTTAAATTATTATTGAATAAATAATAGCTCATCTAAATTTACAGAATAAATAATAGCCAAATTTACAACTCAGCAATGCTATGAAAAATAATTCAAGATTCAAGATGTGAAATTATTTAAGCATCAATTGTCTTTTCAGGAACAAAAATTGAGACAAAAACAATTGGTATGATGACCAGAAAATAGCAGACAATCATTAAAATACACCAGAATTTAGAATGTGTAAAATCTAAAAACACGGCCGCAAACATATGCACGAAACAAACCACGACAACTGCTAGCCACAAACTGATATCAACAAGGTTAGGAGTGAACGTGATTGAAACATTGTCAACTGAGATCGCGGCGTAAAATCCAGCGAAAGTAACGCCGAGTAGGAGATTCGTCAGCTGTCCCGCAAAACAGGCGGAAACTCCGATTCGCGGTTTCCCGTTGCGGGCCATAGCTCCGTTGGAAACTATATCTCCCAAACAGTTCCCCCACGCGAGAAGTGTCATTCCCATAATTGTGGGGGTGATTTTCAAATCAGTCGAAATTTCAGTAAGTTTGTCAACTAACAAGTCAACAATTCGTGAAGATATCAGAAAACATATTGAAAAATTTAGTAAAAAATAGACAACATAAAATTTAGGCGCTTTCTTTCGTTTTGTTGATAAATAGGTAAGAAACGATAAAATTATGCTACCGGAAAGTATGTAAGCTAATAATGGACATTCAGAATTTCCCGGAAAATGGTGTTTAATCAACTTGTTTTGAAGTATCAAATATGATAAGACCACACATCCAAAAAAAGTTTGAACGCTTATTGTTAATTTGTGCCAAACATATTCATCATTTTCGTCCAATTGAGGGGCGTGTATAAATAATCTAACAGGGCAAACTACAATAGCTTTGACAATCGAAAAGAAAAACATGAACCTGTTTTCATGATCAAACAAATCGAAAGGTAAGATATCGTTGAATGCTTGGGTAAATTCTTGTTTCATGTCGAGAAAAAATAGCGAACATTGAGCATTATTTTGTTCATTGTTCGTTATGTAGTCCTCGTTGTCGATGTTTTCCGACAATGAACTTTCTGTCGATATCGAGTTGCTTCCGAGCGTTGAAAATGGGTTATTTTCGGCTGATAAACCATCAGTTTCCAGACTATCATTTTCCTCAAAGCTACCATTTCCGATGTTGGCAGTATAATCGAAATGTTGACTTTGTAAAATTAATCGAGCCCTGATGATTCGACCTACCACAACAACACCAATATAGGTAATATAAACTGATAAAATTATACATGAAAATGTAAAATCCAGCTGTTTTACATACACCACCAAGTAAATGACAGTTGTTGAGCCTATAATGTAAAAAATAATGTCCCGTAGAAAAGGTCGTGACGCGTTTCGAAAGGGTTCTCTAGCCGACAAAGTCACGATGCCGACAACAAGGAGAAAATCGAACAGCGCCGCTCCGAGTAAAGCGCCGACAGCTAAGCCAGCTTGCTCCGGTCCTTGGATAAACCCGGCTTTGCAGGTGAAAATGTCCGGTGCCCCATTACCCCAAGCTAGAAGCGTCACTCCAGCTAAATTATCTGGCATTCGGAATAGTTTAGCGAGGGCTTCCAAAATTGGAACTAAGAACTCATCTGCTATTACAGAAGTTGTAAATATAACTACTAAAGTTAAAAATAAGTCCAAGATAATTGACAGTACTGTATGTTCGATACTAGAAAAATCACTACCTAAGAAGTAACTACTATTCGAAGCATCGTTCGGTTTATTCCAAAAGTGACCCAAATAAACGGAATTTTCGAACATTTTTTTTGTTTTAGGGACAATTACTGATTTTTTGACATGAAGATTTCAAATGACTTAATAATGGAACATCAATCTGATTGCGGGAACAAATTACGATATCAATTGCGACATAAAACAAGCAATAAAGTAAATTGATATTAGATGAATTGGAACATATTAAATACCAAAAAAATGTTAAAAACTCATTGAGGAATTCTTGTTGCAATGAAAAGGGTCAATTATACTTCAGCCACAAGTAGATGATCATCAAAATCGAAAATATTCTGAGCACTCGATTAGCTGTCACTCGATTAGAGTGATTCGATTAGTAGTTTGAGTGAGTTCAAGGGTTTTAAGTGCTCAATTAAATATATAGATAGCATTCAAAACTTTTGCGCCGAAATCAAACCATGTAATCTGAAGATACGTGAAGTCAAGGGCGTCTCAAAAGATTTCAGCTCAATTTTGGTATGGAACTTCAGAAAATTGTATTCCAGCAAATATGGTTCTTTTTTCTTTCAATGAAACTTAGGTACACAAAACAATGGTGTTTGTGCGTGATATGTTGAACAAAACGTAGAACGCGTGTAAAAATTATACACAATTAAATGCCATTTAAATGGTACTGTTTATACCAAACGTGATGAGAAACAAACCACAATAAAAAACGTTGAGCTCACTTTAAAGAAACAAGCGAAAACATCCTGATTTGAGGTGGTTATTTAAGAGCTATTGAAAAAAATGTGCTGTTTTTCAGCATATGATTCAGTTTTTTGCAACAGATTCGTTTTACTCAGTTTTTCTTAAGTAAATGACCTTTCTCAAATGAAACATTTAACGAGCCGTAACTTTACTTAAATTTATTTCACTTCTTTATAATCTGACACGTCTTTTTAATCTGTTTTTTTTTGCTCAAGCTCTGACTTAACAGGTTTCAGTGCGATCAAAAAGAAGCAGATTTTTTTGTTTGAACAGAGAAGGGGGGGGGGATAAAATTTTATTTCGCGGTTCTTTTATGTAAGGTGTGTTAACTCAGGAGTTCGAGAATTTCTCTAACTAACGGGTCTTCTCTTGCTATATTCTAGCTTGAAAAAAATTGTTTAGAGATTATGCGATTGCTTGTCTGACTTTTCACATCTGATGTTGTTCAAACTGTTCTAAAGTTGTTCGAATCTCAACTTTTGTTGTCGTTCAAATAATATAGAATTTGCATGACGCACGATAAAAACCTTCAAAGAGTTAAGCTGCCCGGGTTGACCTCTATACACCAAAAAAGCTTATCATACAATTCCATGCATCAAGTGTATGGAAAAATGATTGTCACACATATTTCGTTCAATTTCGAAAAATGGTTGAAAAAAGATATAGACTAAATTCTGCGGCTGTTTGATTCTAATAAAACAATCTGGTGATGAGAAAACCGAGTTTTTTTTTGAAAAAAGTGCTTATCATACAATTTGCATAAGTAGAAATAGTATGACTAGCATTTTTTTGAAAGTAATTTTCAATTTTTTTTCGTAATTTTTTCAACCGCAAGTCAAAGTTTGTACTCAAACAAATTTTTTCCAAAAATATTTTTTAAATTAATGTTGGAATTTTTTTCCTTTTCCCATAAAAACTTTTTTCAAAAACGCTGAAAGCTTCTATTGTTTTCTATGGCATGTTTATTTATGCCTTGATCAATGTCGGATAAACTGAATATTCAAATTTTAAAAAAAATCATCCTTAAAAAAATTGTGCCAAAAATTGAAAGTTTTAATTTCGTTATATCATTTGTGAAAGACAGCTGCAAGACAATTCAGGTAGTTTTCTATGCATTATAAATGCAAGGCCTCTAGTAAACAAGGTGCTCTAAGTAAACTAAAGTGTTTGTCACTTGTGTTTGGTTACCAACACAACCCAAAATTTTGCAGAAAAAATTTTCAAAAAAATCAACTTTTTCGTTTATGGAAAAACACTTATCATATAGATTTCATACATTTTTCTGTACATAGGAAACTGTATGAAATTTTATGGTAAGAACTTTTTCTTATATGGAAATGGTATGATAAGAAGTTTTGGTTAACCCGGGTGTCTTGATGCACCGAGCTTGTTGTTTATGCAGTCCAGTAATGATGTAAGAACAAGCAGATCAGTGTAAATGTTACTTCCCAATATAATATCCAAGGTAAACAAAAACAAACCGCACTTTCTCATTTAGGTAGAATGAAACATCTTGCTGCTCAAGGATATCACAGCTGATTTTACAAAAACTTAATGAACTTGATTTACGCCCCTATGTCATAGGGTCAGCCTCGAAATCTGAACCACTGATTTAAAGTTTGAATGAAACTTGAATAACTATAATGTCACTTTTGCATATGTACTTTTCGTTGAGTTTTCTTTTAAAATTTGCAAACCTATGAGGCGTTTTGGAAACTGAATGGGTTTTGTTAGGTTACTTTTTGTCATCCTGGGGTTGAAGGCAGATAATTTGAAGAAAAATCTTTTTTAAAATAATTGTTGTTATATATAAACTTTTTTCTGGTCGTATAGTAAACAAAAATTGCGTTCACCAAATAGAGTTCAAATACATGGTCAAATTTATTTTTACAACTCAAAAATACGAAAAAATTACTTGTCGTTGAGTTTTCATAGTAAGTTTATAAACATATGAAGCGTATGGGAAATGTATGGATTTTATTACACTATTTTTTTGTTTTTTGTCAAGCTGGGGTTTCAGGCAGGTCATTTGAAGAAAAAAAATCTAAAGTTAATGTTGCATTCAAAAAACTATCCATATTGTATCTATATTAGTGTTCCGCGGAATAGATTACTGTCTCGACCACTCGTCTCGTCTAAACAATAGAACTCCGATCAATTACGTTTTCGGTTTTGTAAGGATGGACGATTTGTCAGATTTTGTCGCACTGTGTTAACTTCGCGGCCCTGATGGGTTTAGAGTGGCGCGATGTTTGTTTTTCTATACATAGAAATTTTAATCTTCAGAGCGCCCTTGGTATGAACATTTTGAGCTTTTGGTCTTTAATCTCCGTCCAATATACGATGATGCAATTTTTTAATGAGTCTTTGTTTCTTTTGAACTATAGTATTCCTGCGCTCCCGAACTGATAATTTGATAATTTATTTTTTCTGCGTTACAGAAGTTCTGAATTCTTTTAGAGACGAACCCGGACGTTATGACCATGTAGAGTTTTTGGGGTTCCCATTGGTGGAAATATATTTCCTTGGACTTTAAGCATGATGGCCATTCAGAAAAAAACATCGATGGCAATTAATGCATGTTTTCTTGACTTTCACCTAAGTTACAGGTCCCCAAATGTCTATTAGAATCTTTTCATTTGGTTCTCTTGGCATGTATATTTACCTAAGTCGCCATTGGCTGATTATATCTGATTTTAGGTTTTGACTTTCTTCTAGGCATTGCTTGCATAGTCTGGCCGTCGCCGGTAAATTACCGCGCATGCGAGGCCTCAAGATATCCTTCGATGCGGTAAAGACTTTGCACTAACATAGTGGAAGTAAGAAAATTGATTGGAGATTGTTGCCGAGAGTGTCTTGGGAGCTGCCAGACTCCCATCCTTTCAAAGGCCAATTTTCGTTGACAGCGATTACCAGGAAAAGTCGACCGTACTTTTGCCCAGGTTTGTTGCTATGTCTTCTGCCCTCGGGCTCTTATCTAGCATGGCGGCCCGGATGACATTGAGGATTGGGCCATCGTCCAAATCGGCTTCAACTACTTTGAGAGCGAGAGAGTTTCCGGGTGGTCCAACTTCTTCACAACTTTACAATAGTTTTGGGTAAATGAGTTTATCCATTTCTCCAAGTTATTTAACGACGTTGTTGTTGTGAAATTTTGGTCCCTTTAGGCCGATACTTTTGGGAGTTTTGCATGCAAGAAACTTACCGTATATGTATCCTTGAGGTTGAAGTCTGGACTTTAGATTTCAATGTGTGCATATATTACGCATTATGCAAATTTCTCTCATCCTATTGAATGATGATCACTCGCATGAGAGTATGTCCTCGGTCGGTTGAATAAAACAACCGGTTGTACTTGCAAATTTACATGTGCTGGTGTTTTTTTCGACTTATGCGTATTTACAAGACTCGACGCCCTCTACCGTTCGTTTTTTTTTCACTAATTTTAACGTACAAACTCGTACTCCTCACGGCTGTTTTTTAATGTCTCCCTTGGCAGGTTTATTGAAAGATTTACCGTTTTAACTCGGCGACCTTAAATTTTGCATTGTAAGAACTTGTGGGAAGTGCGTGCGTTCAAGAAAATCTGAGCAGGTCGTCGATCATTCAGCTTTAGTCCCTTGTCATTGCTCTACTTCAATTTAGTACTGCAGAAATCGGTTATACCAGCAGGTTTAAATTCTGAAAGGGTTCTCCCTTCTTTCGCGATGAATTGAAAGCAATGTTAGCAGTGCTTTGAGATCCTAATAACGGTATAATATTGCCCGTAGATAAAATTTCCATTGTGTTCCATCGCCCAGACCACGGCTAACAATTCAAGCTCATTGGTCGAATACTTGCGTTTAGGTACCAAGATGCAAACAAAATAGGTTGCCATCCCTCTTGGTTAGGTTGTTCAAACAATGCGCCTAGCCCATTGGCGCTAGCGGCGCTGACGATTCGAGTCTCCCGGGGTATACCGAAATGTTTTTGTTCCATTACCTTCTCGACAAGTCTTTTAAGTTGTCTAAATGCCATTTAGCATTCCTACGTCCAGGTGAAGTCTTTATTTTGACTTAAAAGGGACTTAGAGGGGCACTGATTTCTGTTATCTTTTCAAAGAAGTCATGTAAATATGCAGGGACCCCAAAAAGGTTTTCAGATGTTTTCTTGCATTCCTATCCATTTCTCCAAGTTATTTAACGACGTTGTTGTTGTGAAATTTTGGTCCCTTTAGGCCGATACTTTTGGGAGTTTTGCATGCAAGAAACGTACCGTATATGTATCCTTGAGGTTGAAGTCTGGACTTTAGATTTCAATCTGTGCATATATTACGCATTATGCAAATTTCTCTCATCCTATTGAATGATGATCACTCGCAT